TAAAAAAAAATTTAAACTCTGTGTACTCAGCACCCAGCTTAAGAAATAGAACTTAGTATTCTTCTTTCTCATTTCAGTCAACCTCTACCCTAGCTTTGATAAATCCTTTGTTTTCTTTTTCTTTCTTTCTTTCTTTTTTTTTTTTAATATATTTTATTGATTTTTTTTTTCAGAGAGGAAGAGAGAGAGAGATAGAGCTAGAAACATCGATAAGAGAGAAACATGGATCAGCTGCCTCCTGCACACCCCCCACCATGGATGTCCCTGCAACCAATGTACATGCCCTTGACCAGAATTGAACCTGGGACCTTTCAGTCCACAGACCAATGCTCTATCCACTGAGCCACACCGGTTTCGGCTCTTTCTTAAAAAAAAAATATATATATATATATATATACATATATATATATATATATATATATATATATATATATATTTCAGAGAGGAAAGGAGAAGGAGAGAGAGATAGAAACATCACTGATGAGAGAGAACCATGGATCAGCTGCCTCCAGCACACCCCCCACTGGGGATTGAGCCTGCAGCCCAGGCCTGTGCCCTTGGCCAGATGCTAACGCTTCTGAGCTGGGTGTACAGTTTGAGAACCACTGTACTGAAAGAACCAGATTTCTTTCCTGGTCAATTATCTGACTTCCCCGACAAAGAAAGGGCTTAGGCAATCAGCAGTTCTGTCTCCTCATGAGTTAAAGCCCTCAGGGGCATTCCATGGCCTGGAAGGGAACAAATTAGTGTTCCAGGCTGGTGCAAGTAATTTAGTCTGAATAACACAAGGAGGCTTTTAAGAAAACCTTCAGGCACCAACTTTTCCCTCTAGAGTATTAAACACCCCACACACACCCTCCTTAACCCTTTGCATGTGCCCTTACCTGCCCACTCTTCCTCCTTCAGGACCAAGGGGACCCCAGCCCCGAATCCTGTAAAGCTCCCAGGAACTCAGGGTACCCGCCTCCATCATTTCCAACTTCCCTGCGGCCTGATGGATATACCGTGTTACCCCGAAAATAAGACATCCTCCGAAAATAAGACCTACTTACAGGTTTCCTTCTGAGTGAAATATAAGGCATCCCCCCGAAAATAAGGCCCCCCCCTAGGCTAAACATGAGAGATTTGGTCCACTGATTCTGAAAGAAATGGAGTCACAAGAAATTCACCAGGAAACTCAGGAATTGGATTGTTTTGATGATGTTCCAGAAGATGATATGATTGTCATTGAATAAAGGAGTAAATTCTTTTAAAAAAAAAAAAAAAAAAGAAAAGAATATCTGTTCTTTTTTTTTTAATATATTTTATTGATTTTGTACAGAGAGGAAGGGAGAGAGATACAGAGTTAGAAACATCGATGAGAGAGAGTCATCGATCAGCTGCCTCTTGCACACCCCCTACTGGGGATGTGCCCGCAACCAAGGTACATGCCCTTGACCGGAATCGAACTTGGGACCCTTCAGTCCCCAAGCCGACGCTCTATCCATTGAGCCAAACCGGTCCCGGCAAAGGAGTAAATTCTTGATCCTGTAGGATTCACAGTCTGTCTGGTTTGTGTTGACAACGACCGTACTACCGTACCGTATACAGGGAATACATTTCCTTTATTTTCATTTAAGAATAAATGTGCACCGTATTCTTCTTCATGGAAAAATAAGACATCCCCTGAAAATAAGACCTAGCGCATCTTTGGGAGCAAAAATTAATAGAAGACACTGTCTTATTTTCGGGGAAACAGGGTAACACGAGACACTGATAGAGCCCAGAGCGGGTCGGGTCTGTGTTGCTGACAGGAGACCTGCAGCCAGAATCTGGCTCGTCTGTCAACTACGTGATCCACAGTGAGCAGTTTGGCGTCTTTCAAGCTTTAGGTTTTCAACGAGTGAAAAAAAGAAGCCTGTCCTTAGGAGCGAAAATGAGACATCTGGAGAATTATCACCCAGAGTTCCTCGGGAGGGAGGGGAAAAAGACACATTTGCAACGAGACTGTAACTTTAGAGATATTACACTTTAAGGTTTAACAACGAAGTGCTCGCATGCGTGCGTGCATGCATGCGTGCTAAGCTCTCACAACCACCTAGCAAGGTAGGGAAGGTAGGGACTGACAAAAGGCAGAAGTCTGGCCAAGGTCAAGTGTCAGGGCCAGGACTCAAACAGCTCACCTTCTCTGAGAAGTCAGTGTTCTTTTTTTTCTTTTTTTTTTTTTAATATATTTTATTGATTTTTTAAAAAATATTTTATTGATTTTTCACAGAGAGGAAGAGAGAGGGATAGAGTTAGAAACATCGATGAGAGAGAATCATCGATCAACTGCCTCTTGCACACCCCCACTGGGGATGTGCCCACAACCAAGGTACATGCCCTTGACCGGAATCGAATCCAGGACCCTTCAGTCCGCAGGCCGACGCTCTATCCACTGAGCCAAACCAGTCCTGGCTTTATTGATTTTTTTACAGAGAAGAAGAGAGAGGGATAGAGAGTTAGAAACATTGATGAGAGAGAAACACCGACCAGCTGCCTCCTGCACACCCGCCTCTGGGGATGTGCCCGCAACCAATGTACATGCCCTTGACCGTAATTGAACCTGGGACCCTTCAGTCCACAGGTCGATGCTCCATCCACTGAACCACACCGGTTTCGGAGAAATCAGTGTTCTTGCCAACACCGCCTCTCCTCAGTACATTTCAATTAAACACAGGAATGTACCGGTGTGTGAAATGAATGACCCTAAGAGGGTCACCGAGTTGCAGTAACTTAAAACTAAAAGGCAGCCGAAACTGGTTTGGCTCAGTGGTAGAGCGTCGGTCTGCGGACTGAAGGGTCCCAGGTTCGATTCTGGTCAAGGGCATGTACATTGGTTGCGGGCAGATCCCCAGAGGGGGGTCTGCAGGAGGCAGTTGATCGATGATTCTCTCTCATCGATGTTTCTAGCTCTCTATCTTTCTCCCTTCCTCTCTGTAAAAAATCAATAAAATATATTTTTAAAAAAACTAAAAGGCAAAGGACCCAGCAGGTTGGAAAACAGGCGCCGTTTCCTGCAGCTGGATGCCGGGAAGGCCCCTATGGCTCAGTGGTCTCGGGAATCTTGCTTCACCAGGTGACAATCCTCTTCCAGGCCCCTCTGGCTTGCTTTACCCTGCATTTTCCGGTGCCTCAGATGGCAGCAACCTCCAGCGGGAGCGCCTCAGGCACTGCTGCTGCACGGAACAAGGCTTCTGAAATGCTCTCAGCTTAGTCACAAGACCGCAAACATCCTCTCGGTAATTCTGCCTCGTCACGGCGATGAGACATCTGGTGACTAAATGCCTGCCTAGCACTGGCTCGGGAGAGTGTTCTATTGTTTCATTCAATCTGGGCGCTCACACCCCAAATCTCCCTTGCAAGTCCTCGGGTCTCGGGGCGGCCCTGATAAAGGCCTTACTGTGGAATGAGGCGGATAGAAGCAAGCAGCTTTTAAGGGGCAGGCGCAATACTGAGGGCTTTATCTAAGATCTCGAATATTAATCGTTTTAGGGATAATGGGACCGCTTTGTTACGGAGCAAAACTTTGTGCCGGGCACTGTACTAGGTGGCTCATGTGAGACCTTTAGGTCACGTTTATTTCACTTCTCTTAGAACAGCGGTCGGCCAACCCCTTAGCCCACAGAGCCAGATACCAACAGTACAACGATTGACATTTCTTTGGGGAGCCACATTTCTTTTAAACTTAAACTTTTTCTAACGCCACTTCTTCAAAAACAGACTCGCCCAGGCCGGGGTATGTTGTGGAAGAGCCACACTCAAGGGGCCAAAGAGCCGCATGTGGCTCGCGAGCCGCAGTTTGCCGACCACGGTCTTAGAGTAACAACACCAGGCATCAACCGTTCAAACTTATATATTTCCCTAAGAATTCATCAAAAACAATGAAGGAATGAATGCCTTGTGTGTTGTTTAAATCCTTACCGTTAAAACATGAGAGAAAAAAAGAGAGGGAACAGATTAGGGCCTACCTCGAGCCGCCACGGGTGCCCAGGTTCCTAATTGGGTTCCTTGAAGATAGTTTTCTCTATTGGGGATATTTAAATATAAAAACATGGCCCTAACCAAAAAAAAAAAAAAAAAAAAAAAAAAAAAAAAAAAAAAAAAATTTGGCCCTAACCGGTGTGGCTCAGTGGGTAGTGTCCCAGGTTCGATTGTGGTCAAGGGCTCAGGCCTGGGTTGTGAGCTCGATCCCCAGTGGGGGGCGTGCAGGAGGCAGCCAATCAATGATTCTCTCATCATTGATGTTTCTCTCTCTCTCTCTCTCTTTCTCTCTCTGAAGTCAATAGAAATACATAGATATCCTGTTTCCCCCAAAATAAGACAGTGTCTTATATTAATTTTTACTCCCAAAAATGTGCCAGGTCTTATTTTCAGGGGATGTCTTATTTTTCCATGAAGAAGAATACGATACACACATTTATTGTTAAATGAAACTAAAGGAGATTTATTACCTGTATACAGTATGGTAGTACGGTCGTTGTCGACACAAACCAGACACACTGTGAATCCTACAGGATCAAGAATGTACTCATTTTTTCAATGACAATCATGCCATCATCTTCTGGAACATCATCCTAGCAATCCAATTCCTGAGTTTCCTGGTGAATTTCTTGGGACTCCATTTCTTTCAGAATCAGTGAACCAAATCTCTCATGGTTAGCCTGGGGGGGGGGGCCTTATTTTTGGGGGGGATGCCTTATATTTCACTCAGAAGGAAACCTGTAAGTAGGTCTTATTTTTGGAGGATGTCTTATTTTCGGGGAAACATGGTATACATATACACACACACACACACACACATACACACACACACACATATATATACATATATACGTGTATATATATGTATATGTGTGTATATGTGTGTGTATGTGTATATATGTATATATGTGTGTATATATGTGTATATGTGTGTGTGTGTGTGTGTATATATATATAAATTTTTGGAAGGGAGCAGCAAAACCACCTACAATCATTCCCTACATCAAATGAGTGTTTTGATGGCATAAAAGGTGCGCTTTCTGACGGAAGCTCTTGCCGCACTGGCCGCAGGGGAAAGGCCTTTCCCCCGTGTGCGTCCTCTGGTGCGTGAGGAAGTGGGAGCGCTGGTGGAAGGCCTTGCCGCACTGCGGGCACGGGTACGGCCTCTCCCCGAGGTGGATGCGCCGGTGGGTCGCAAAGTGGGAGCTCTGGCTGAAGCTCTTGCCGCACTCGCCGCACCGGTAGGGCCTCTCCCCGGTGTGGATCCGCTGGTGCTTGAGGAGGGCCGAGCTGTCGGTGAAGCCCTTGCCGCAGGCGCCGCACGCAAAGGGCCGCTCGCCGGTATGCGTCCGCCGGTGCGCGGCCAGGTGCGAGCTCTGGCTGAAGCTCTTGGGGCAGGACGGGCAGCTGAAGGGCCTCTCCCCCGAGTGCGTGCCCATGTGCGCCACGAAGTGAGAACTGTCCGCGAAGCCTTTCCCGCAGGCCGGGCACCGGAAGGGCCGCTCCCCGGTGTGGGTCCGCCGGTGCTTGGCCAGATCCGAGCTCTGGCCGAAGCTCTCCCCGCACTCGCCGCACCGGTGAGGCCTCGCTCCCGTGTGGGTCCGCTGGTGGGTGACGAGGTTGGAGCTCCGGCTGAAGCGCTTGTGACACTGGGGGCACGTGAAGGGCTTCTCTCCCGTGTGGGTCCTCTGGTGCATGACGAGGTGCGGCTTCCGGGCGAAGGTTTTCCCACACTCCGGGCAGGCGTAGGGCCTCTCCCCCGTGTGGGTCCTCTGATGCTTGACGAGCGTGGAGCTGTCGCCAAATCTTTTCCCGCACCCTCCGCACCCGTAGGGCTTCTCCCCCGTGTGCGTGCGGCGGTGGGTGACCAGGTCGGAGCTCTGCTTGAAGCCTTTCCCACACTCGGCACAGGCGTAGGGCCTCTCGCCGGTGTGGGTTCTCAGGTGTCGGATGAGATAGGAGCTCTGGCGGAAGGTTTTCCCACATTCCGCACACTCGGGCTTCTTTCCCCGAGAGCCATCCAGGAGCCTGTTTAGATCCTCGCCCCGACGGCCCTCCCCTGGAAGGGTCCCCGGTTCTGATTCAAGGCCCCTCTCCCGGCCTCCTCCCCAGCTGGGTGTCTGATAAACCTCTTTACCGGCCCCTTCTGAGGACGCTCCGCTTGGCTCTGCTGTTTCGGAAGCATCCTGGTGGAGTTTTTCCAGCGGGTCCTCCAAGTCTGAAAAATTAACAGAAGTGGCTGAGGATAAAGTTGTCGGGAATGTACATCGGAAGGCAGCAAGAAATATATATATTTTAAAATATATTTTATTGATTTTTTTTTACAGAGAGGGAGGAGGAGAGAGATAGAGATTTAGAAACATTGATGAGAGTCATCGGTCAGCTGCCTCTTGCACGCCCCCCCTGGGGATGTGCCCGAAACCAAGGTACATGCTCTTGACCAGAATCGAACTCGGGACCTTTTGGTCCAAAGGCTGACGCTCTATCCACTGAGCCAAATCGGTTTCGGCGGCAGCAAAAAATATTAAAATGAGTGTTTTTGCCACAGACTGTGCTTAATCTGATTACGTTGATATTCACTCTGTAAAAAGTTTATTAATGTCCACTGAGCTCATGGAAAACATGAGTGCCTAAATGTTTATTTTATTTTATTTTAAATTAAATTATTATCTGTGTACATATTTTAACATTGTCCCCCCTCCCATACATACCCTCCCTCCCCAGAGTTTTGTGTCCATTGGTTGTACTTATATGCATGTATACAAGTCCTTCAGTTGATCTCTTATCTCCCCCAGATCTCTCTACCCTCCCCGCTATAATTTGACAGTCTGCTTGATGCTTTACTATCTTTATATCTGTCTTTTGGTTCATCAGTTTATAATGTTCTTTAATATCCATAAATGAGTGAGGTCATGTGGTATTTTTCTTTCATTGACTGGCTTATTTCACTCAGCATGATGTTCTCTGGTTCTATCCAGGTTGCTGCAAATGATGAGAATTCCTTCTTTTTGATGGCAGCATAGTATTCCATTGTGTAGATGTACCATAGTTTTTTGATCCAATCATCTGCTGACAGGCACCTAAGCTGTTTCCAGATTCTAGCTATTGTAGATTGTGCTGCTATGAACATAGGGGTGCATATATCCTTTCTGATAGTTTCTTGGGATAGATTCCTAGGAGTGGGATTACTGGGTCAAATGGGAGTTCCATTTTCAGTTTTTGAGGAAACTCCACACTGTTCTCCACAGTGGTTGCACCAGTCTGCATTCCCACCAGCAGTGCAACGAGGGTTCCTTTTTCTCCGCAACCTCGCCAACACTTGTCGTTTGTTGATTTGTTGATGTTGGCCATTCTGACAGGCGTGACAGGCGTTGTTGTTTTGATTTCCATTGCTTTTTATTTTTTTTTAAGATGACCAGATAAATTTTGCGATGACCTTTTACATCATTTAAGAGTCAGCAACAAGTTGTCAAAATGAGGCAACTCCTTTCAAAGCTGTCAGAGTGGAAATGAAAGCAAAACGCTTACTTAGAAAAAGACTTTATTTGGTCAATTCCTGACTGCCCAAGAACTCAGATTTAACCATCAACAGGGCCAAAACCGGTTTGGCTCAGTGGATAGAGCGTCAGCCTGCGGACTGAAAGGTCCCGGGTTCGATTCCGGTCAAGGGCATGTACCTTGGTTACGGGCACATCCCCAGTAGGAGGTGTGCAGGAGGCAGCTGGTCGATGTTTCTCTCTCATCGATGTTTCTAGCTCTCTATCCCTCTCCCTTCCTCTCTGTAAAAAATCAATAAAATATATTTAATAAGTAAATAAACTTCCGATAGGAAGCCCAAAACTCCAGGGCAAGCGTTTCTAATTTTTCTCCCACCAAGTAACGCTCACATCTCACCTGGGTGACTCTCCCTTAGGATGCCTCTTGCCTCAAAATGTTGGAGGGGTAGAAGCCATGGCTCCTCCTTCTGGTCCAGCTGGGAGATGACATGTGGTCTGGAGATTCTACACAGGAAGATGAAGAGGGGATGTTGAGCTGAGCCAATCGCAAAGGCCTGGCCCAAATCTAAGCCCTCCTCCTTCTCTAGGGAGAAGGGGGACATCCAGAGAAACCTCATGTGTGTTTTGTCTCATTAAAAGGGCAGCCACAGCCAAAACCGGTTTGGCTCAGTGGATAGAGCGTCAGTCTGCGGACTGAAAGGTCCCGGGTTCGATTCCGGGCAAGGGCATGTAAGTTTGTCGCGGGCACATACCCAGTAGGGAGTGTGCAGGAGGCAGCTGATTGATGTGTCTCTCTTATCATCGATGTTTCTAACTCTCTATCCCTCTCTCTTCCTCTCTATCAAAAATCAATAAAATATACTTTTTAAAAATAAAAGGGTAGCCACGATAAAGTGATCAAAGAGCATGATCTCCCCAAGAGGCTGAAGAAAAGCTCTTTTCCTCCCATAAAAAAACAAAAACAAACAAACAGTCCTGACCAGTGTGGCTCAGTGGATATAGCGTCAGTCTGCGCACTGAAGGGTCCCAGGTTCGATTCTGGTCAAGGGTATGCAGGAAGCAGCTGATCCATGTTTCTAACTCTCTATCCCTCTCCCTTCCTCTCTGCAAAAATATATTTAAAAAAAAACAAAAACAGCTGAAGCCGGTTTGGCTCAGTGGTAGAGTGTCGGTCTGCGGACTGAAAGGTCCCAGGTTCGATTCTGGTCAGGGGCATGTACATTGGTTGCGGGCACATCCCCAGTAGGGGGTGTGCAAGAGGCAGCTGGTCAATGTTTCTCTCTCGTCAAGGTTTCTAGCTCTCTATCGCTATCCCTTCCTCTCTGTAAAAAATCAATAAAATATATTTAAAAAACAAACAAAAAAAAAAAATAGCAGAATCTCAGAAGGAAGGTGGGGGAGGGTGTGTGGGTGAGAGATAATCAACCAAAGACTGTGTATGCATATATGCATAACCCATGGATGCAAAGAGTGGGGTGGTGAGGGCTGGAGTGAGGGAGCTAGTGGGGAGGTGTGAGGCGGTTGGGGGGGGGTGAATGGAGGATAAAAGGGGACATATGTAATACTTTCAATAATAAATTATTATTATTATTTTAATCAGACAGAGGCCATTGAAACTCTTGGGTAAGTACAATAACTCATCTCGGAAGGCACAAGGCTAAACCCATGTGGAAAGATAATTTTATCAGGAACAAAGCCGCCATGACCTCACTCTTAGAGAGAATCAAGGGATTAACTATAATATTGGCCTTTAATTTTTTTTTTCCAGAAGGACAGCAATAGATACTGCTATGAGAAAAAGATAAACACTTGTAAGAAAAAAAAAAAAAAGAACAAAGGACATGCACAGGCAATTCGTAAAAGAACGAAAAGTAGCCTATACACATATGGAAAATCTTTATAGATAGATAGATAGATATATTTATTTCAGAGAGGAAGGGAGGAGAGAGAGATAGAAACATCAATGATGAGAGGGAATCATTGACTGGCTGCCTCCTGCACGCCCTCCACTGGGGATTGAACCCACAATCCAGGCATCTGCCCTTGACAGGAATTGAACCTGGGACCCTTCAGACTGTAGGCTGACGCTCTATCCACTGAGCCAAACCAGCCAAGGCTAGCCAAAGAAATTTAAATTAAAATGATTGTCTGGCCTGTGTTACTCAGTGGTTGAGCATTGATCCATGAAACAAGAGGTCACTGGTTCAATTCCTGGTCAGGGCACAGGCCCAGGTTTTTGGGCTTGATTCCCAGTACGGGGTGTGTGGGAGGCAGCCAATTGATGATGTTTCTTTCCCATTAATATTGCTCTCTCTGTGTCCCTCTCCCTTCCTCTCTCTCTAAAGTCAATTTTAAAAACATATTTTAAAAAATTAAAACAATGACACACTTAGGCAATAAGTATAGAGGTGAAGAGTGCAAACTCAAGAGTCACAGTGCCTGAATTTGAATCCTATCCCTGTCTCTTACTAGCTGTGTGATCTCAGGAAAGTTGTTTCAATTCTGTGTCTATGTCTTTATCTATAAACTAGAAATAATGATAATATCTACTTTATAGAGTTATAAGGATTAAGTGGTAAGTCCTCAATAAAAGTTACCCTGTTTCCCCGAAAATAAGACAGTGTCTTATATTAATTTTTGCTCCCAAAGATGCGCTAGGTCTTATTTTCAGGGGATGTCTTATTTTTCCATGAAGAAGAATACAGTACACATTTATTGTTAAATGAAAATAAAGGAAATTTATTACCTGTATATGGTACGGTAGTACGGTAGTTGTCAACACAAACCAGACACACTGTGAATCCTACAGTAGCAAGAATTTACTCATTTATCCAATGACAATCATGTCATCATCTTTTGAAACATCATCCTAACAATCCAATTCCTGAATTTCCTGGTGAATTTCTTGTGACTCCATTTCTTTCAAAATCAGTGGACCAAATCTCTCATGTTTAACCTGGGGAGGGGGCCTTATTTTTGGGGGGATGCCTAATATTTCACTCAGAAGGAAACCTGTAAGTAGGTCTTATTTTCGGAGGATGTTTTATTTTCGGGTAAACCCGGTAGCTATCCTTACTAATTAACCCAGACTCTTAAAATATAATAGCTACCATGATGGTAGACTAGAGAGAAAAGGACACTTTCATCTCATGCTTTTGGGAATAAGTACATTGATTTAATCTTTTTAGAAGGCTTTGTGCAAAAACATCAAATACCTGAGAAATGTACCTATTTGTGGACCCAGCAATTCTAATTCCGGGAATTGTAAGAAAATGAAAAAAAAAAAAAAAAAAGTTGTGCGAAAGACGTATTAGCTACTTATTAACTAACTGTAATTCAATAAGGAAGACTTTATTTAAAAAAAGATAATGAGCTAAGAGTTATTTATCACAATACTCGTGAGAATCTGGAAAGAACATAAATCAATTAAATGTCCCACAACAAAGGCATACGAAAGGCTTATTTGAACCATACAAAACTGCTGTTTATTTATTTATTTTTTTAATATAAGACCTAGCGCATCTTTGGAAGCAAAAATTAATGTAATTTATTGATTTTTTACAGAGAGGAAAGGAGAGGGATAGAGAGTTAGAAACATCGATGAGAGAGAAACATCAATCAGCTGCCTCCTGCACACCCTCCACTGGGGATGTGCCCGCAACCAAGGTACATGCCCTTGACCGGAATCGAACCTGGGACCTTTCAGTCTACAGGCCGACGCTCTACCCACTGAGCCAAACAGGCTTCGGCTGTTTATTTTTTAAAATATGTTTTTATTGATTTTTTAGAGAGAGATGAAGGGGGGAGCAATAGAAGCATTGATGAGAGAGAAACATCATCCACCAGCTGCCTCCTGCAAGCCTCCCACTGGGGACTGTCAGAGTCTCAAAGGAGGAAAGAATGAACTTATTAGATCATTTGGGCCCCCAAATGGTGCCAGCACCCAGGGACAGGCAGTCAGAGCTTCTAAGGGGCTCTAGGGAGGGTTTTCCGGGCAGAGAATTCTCTAGGCAGGTCCAGAGGGGAAAGATAATTGTCTTAGCAAATGGAATGTGACCTAAGCAAAGGGAATGTGGTCCAACAAAAGGGAATGCCGGAGGTAAAGCAGTCCAAAGGTCAATTCCCAGCCCGAGTCGGTGTGACTCAGTGGATGGAGCATCGGCCTTCGGACTGAAAGGTCCCAGGTTCAATTCCAATGAGGGGCACATGCCTGCCTGGGTTGCGGGCACATCCCCAGTGGGGGGTGTTCAGGAGGCAGCTGATCAAGGTTTCTCTCATCAATGTTTCTAACTATCTCCCTTTCTCCCTGTTAATATATATATTTTTTCTTTTTTTTTTAAGGGCCATAAAAATGAAAGTCCTCCTTTCTTTGCCAAGGAGGCAACAGTTATTCTCACAGGGATCCGGAGCCCTAAGAGACCAGCATCCCAAGAGACCAGTTAGATTTAGGCCCTTTTAAAATATAGGGCTTGCCGAGACCGGTTTGGCTCAATGGATAGAGCGTCGGCCTGGGGACTGAAGGTACCCGGGTTCGATTCCGGTCAAGGGCATGTACCTTGGTTGCGGGCATATCCCCAGGAGGGGGTGTGCAAGAGGCAGCTGATCAATGACTCTCATTGATGTTTCTAACTCTGTATCTCTCTCCTTTCTTCTCTGTACAAAATCAATAAAAAAATATTTTTTAAAAATAAAAAATAAAATAAAATAAAATATAGGGCTTAAGTCTAAAGGAGAGTAGCAGCCTGCCCAGCTGGGTATGGCTCAGTAGCTGAGCACCCACCCAGGAATGCAAAGGTCACTGGTTCGATTCCCAATCAGGGCACATACCCAGGCTTGATTCCCAATAGGGGGGTGCAGGAGGCAGCCAATGGATGATGTTTCTCTCTCATCATTGATGTTTCTCTCTCTCTCTCTCTCTCTCTCTCTCTCTCTCTCTCTCTCTCTCCCTTTCTCTCTCTCTAAAAATCAATAAAAACATACTAAAAGTGCCGAAACCGGTGTGGCTCAGTGGATAGAGCGTCGGCCTGCGGACTGAAGGGTCCCGGGTTCGATTCCGGTCAAGGGCATGTACCTTGGTTGCGGGCACATCTCCTGTGGTGGGGGGGGATGCAGGAGGCAGCTGGTCGATGTTTCTCTCTCATCAACGTTTCTAGCTCTCTATATCCCTCTCCCTTCCTCCCTGTAGAAAATCAATAAAACATATATTTTTTTAAAAACATACTAAAAGTAAATAAGTAACGGAGAGTAGCATCCTTACCCTTTGAGAGCCCATTCTCCTAACGGTGCTGGGTCGTACCCCGGAAGAGGGTTCTCTAAGTAGTGCCCGTCCTTCCCTGGAGTCCCTAGCCGCCACATCACGGAGGGTCATCGGGTCCTAAAGCAACAGACCCCATTATGCATCCAGCTCTCGGGATGGCCTCCCATGGTCTGAAAAGCAAAGGACAGCTCCCGAGGACATCCGTATCCGCAAACAAAGCCCCTCCCCCACCCCCTTCCACTAGACTAGCTCTCCGGTGAATTCTGTCCACCACAGAAGGTTTGATTTTCTTACTCTTGTTTCTATTATTTATTTACTAGAGGCCCAGTGCACAAAATTCGTGCATGGGGGGAGGGAGGGGGAGTGTTCCTGGGCCCGGCCTGCACCCTCTCCAATCTGGGACCCCTGGAGGGATGTTCGACTGCCCGTTTAGGCCTGATACTGGTGGGATCAGGCCTAAAGGGGCAGTCCAACAGCCTCCTCACAATCCAGGGCTGCTGGTTCCCAACCGCTTGCCTGCCTATCTGCCTGATTGCCCCTAACCGCTTCTGCCTGCCATCCTGATCACCCCCTAACCACTCCCCTGCCAGCCTGATTGATGCCCAACTGCTCCCCTGCCAGCCCAATTGCATCTAACTTCCCTTCCCTGCTGGCCTGGTCGCCCCCATCTGCCCTCTCTTGCAGGCCTGGTTCCCCTTAACTGCCCTGCACTGCAGGCCTAGTTCCCCTCTCTGCCCTCTGCCCTCTCTTGCAGGCCTGGTTCCCCTTAACTGCCCTGCACTGCAGGCCTAGTTCCCCTCAATAGCCCCCCCTGGTCCCCCCCAACTGCCCTCTCCTGCAGGCATGGTCCCCCCAACTGCCCTCCTCTGTCTGCCTGGTCCCCCCAACTGCCCTCCCCTGCCGGCCTGTTCCCCCTCAACTGCCCTCATCTTCAGGCCCAGTCCTCCTCAATTGCCCTCCTCTGCAGGTCCAATCCTCCCCAACTGCCCTCCCCTGCAGACCTTGTCCCCCTCAACTGCCCTCTCCTGCTGGACTGATTGCCCACAACTGCCCTCCCCTGCTGGCCATCTTATGGTGGCCATCTTGTGTCCACATTGGGGCAGCCATCTTTGACCAGCCCTGGCCGGTTTGGTTCAGTGGATAGAGTGTTGGCCTGGGGACACGGGGGTCCCGGGTTCGGTCCCAGGCAGGGGCATGTACCTTGGTTGCTGGCACATACCCAGTGGGGAGTGTACAGGAGGCAGCTGATCGGTGTTTCTCTCTCATCGATGTTTCTCACTCTCTGTCCTTCTTTCTTCCTCTCTGTGAAAAATCAATAAAATATATATTTTTTAAAAAGTTTCCAACAGAAACAAACATAAGTCAGCTTTGAACCTGCTATAAAATACCCTTGTGTTCCAGAATTCAGGATGGATCAGATGGGGGTGAGGAAGTTTTTACTCTTTCCCATCTCCCTCTCGACAATCAAAGCACCTAGAACTTCTAGGCTACACACACACACACACACACACACACTTTTCTCATGGAAACATGAATCCATGTACAGCCACTGCTATTGGTCCCTGATCAAGTCCTGAATGTTGAAAGGACCCCAGAAACCATAGGAATACATTTCACCTCTCTGGCTTAAAACCTTCCCCAACAGCCGAAACCAGTGTGGCTCAGTGGATGGAGCGTCAGCCTGCGGACTGAGGAGTCCCGGGTTCAATTCCGGTCAAGGGCATGTACCTTGGTTGCAGGCATATCCCTAGTGGGTGTGTGTGTGTGTGTGTGTGTGTGTGTGTGCAGGAGGCAGCTGATCGATGTTTCTGACTCTATCCCTCTCTCTTCCTCTCTGTAAAAAATCAATAATATATATATATATATATATATTTTTTATATTTTATTGAGTTTTTACAGAGAGGAAGAGAGAGGGATAGAGAGTTAGAATTATCAATGAGAGAGAAACATCCATCGAACCTGGGATCTTCCGCAGGCTGACGCTCTATCCATTGAGCCAAACCGGTTTCGGCAATAAAATATATATATATATTTTAAATCATGTCGCTGAAACCGGTTTGGCTCAGCAGTAGAGCCTCGGTCTGCGGACTGAAAGGTCCCAGGTTCGATTCCGGTCAAGGGCATGTACATTGGTTGCGGGCACATCCTTGGTAGAGGGTGTGCAAGAGGCAGCTGATCGCTGTTTCTCTCTCATCAATGTTTCTAGCTCTCTAACTCTCTCTCTTCCTCTCTGTAAAAAAAATCAATAAAAAATGTATATATTTTTTAAAAAAATCATGTCATCGAGGAGTGAGAACCCTTTGCTGAGTTTGGACCAATCCTTTCATTTCTGCGTCCATCACAAAGCACCGGAGCAGCGCCCCCTGCAGGAGACGGCGGGAAGGGGACGGAGCTGCCGGCCGCGGGCACGGAGACCCTGCCTCCCACCCTGTCTCCGGGGCAGGTGACCTCAAAGCCCCCCTCATCCCCCCCACCCTCACCCCCACCCCCCAGCACCTGGTGCCTCTGTGCAAAGCAGCGGTTTGTCACTGGATTTATTAATAGAAACATGACCGCACGGGAAGGGCCGCCACCCATTCTCCCCCCATCCCCCGCCGTGCAGCAGGCCCGATCGGGGTGCTGCGGTCACCCTGCGGGGAGGCGGGGGGTCACAAAGTTGGGCTGCCACCCATCCTCCAGGAGCAAGAAAATGGATACGAGGGTTGCCATAGCGACGACAGCACAGAAAACCGCAGCTCCCGGTCCCCGCTGCTGAGGGTCCGGGCAGAGTCGGCGGACATCGGGGCGGCAGGCGAGCCTCCCATCCGCGCTCGCTCCTCGGCAGCGATCGGCTGCTGCGGCCGCTGTCTCCTCTCTCAGACCCACTCACCGCCCCGGGGAAAAGGAGAGTCCGCTGCCCGGCCCGCCACACCCAGCGCGTCCCTACCCGGATCCGAACCCGGTGCGTGACAGGACTGTGGAGACACAGGTGGGAACTGGGCGCTCCGCAGCCAGCCGCCGGAAGACACCGCCCAGGACCTCTTGCCATTGGCTCTTCGGTTTTCGTGACCCTAGCTGTTGGCTGAGCGAGCTGTCGATCACCGCGATGCCTTCTGGGAAATGTAGTTCTGAGCAGCAAAACACGTAAAAGGATTCCGAGTCCGGGACTGGGACGCCCAGTTTCGGAACGGTGACAAGTGCTAAACACAATTCCCCAGCTACCCGCCTGCGGGAACCGCGTCTCCGGAGCTGAGAGGGGGGGATCAGAAACTGCATTCCCAGAGAGGGATTTGCAAATGCAAACCCTCTGGCCTCACCAGACAACCTCGGTGCAACCGGGTACCAACCGCGGCGTCTCTGGCACCCAGCTGCGCATCCTCCTCTGGCCACCCCGCCGCCCCACCCTGCAGCGTCCGGGGGCCGAATGACGTCTGCCGCCGCGGGTTCCAGGCCAACTCAGACGAAGCATGAGAAATCCCAAGCAGAAACCGTTAGTGTAAGACAGCTATGCTTTTTTTTTTCTTTCTTTTTAAAAAAAATATATTTTATTGATTTTTTTTTTTTTTTTTTTTTTACAGAGATGAAAGGAGAGGGATAGAGACCTAGAAACATCGATGAGAAACATCGACCAGCTACCTCCTGCACACCCTCCACCGGGGATGTGCACACAACCAAGGTACATGCCCCTGACCTTGGAATCGAACCTAGGACCCTTCAGTCCGCAGGCCGACGTTCTATCTATCCACTGAGCCAAACCGGTTAGGGCAGGATTAAAAAAAATTTTAAGAAAAACAATAAACCATTTATAACCTGGCTAAAAAAATGTTTTCTTTCACTTATTCAATGATTTCACTTATTCAGAGATTTTTACACATTGTTTTCATTACTTTTCATAAGGATGCAGTAAGTTAAGCTTCTGTATCCTGCTTGCTGCTGGTGTTGACATAGTAGGCAGATAGACAGACGTGAGCAGCGCAGGAACCACAGGTCAAGTACCAAGGCTGATGCTGTGGGGATGAAATTTTTCCTCCCCAGTCCAACAGCGTCACATTGATTTGAATGTGCATCGAGTGCCACCTTGTGGCAATTAAGAGTAATTGCACATACAGCCACTGTCCAGAGTTAAGCCGCTTTGGGGGATCTACAAAGGAGATGAATGGCTAATTTAGTAGAGGCTAGAGGTGGTTTTAGTTTCCTTTAATTTTTATTTTTAAAATATATTTTATTGATTTTGTACAGAGAGGAAGGGAGAGAGATAGAGAGTTAGAAACATCAATGAGAGAGAGTCATCGATCAGCTGCCTCCTGCACACCCCGTTCTGAGAATATGCCCGCAACCAAGGTACATGCCCTTGACTGGAATTGAACCCGGGTCCCTTCAGTCCCCAAGCCGACGCTCTATCCATTGAGCCAAACCGGTTTCGGCAGTTTCCTTTATTTTGGAAAATAATTTAAAGGTATCCTGCCCTGACTGGTTTGACTTAGTGGATAGCGCTTTGGCCTGCAGACTGAAAGGTCCCAGGTTTGATTTCGGTCAAGGGCATGTACCTTGGCTGCAGGCACATCCGCAGTGGGGGATGTGCAGGAGGCAGTGATTGATGTTTCTCTCTCATCGATGTTTCTAGTCTCTACCCCTCTCTCCCTTCCTCCCTGTAAAAAAATCAATAAAATATTTTTTTTAAATAAATAAATAAAGGCATCCTGATGTTGTGATACAGTTCATATTGGCTACACTCATGCATAGAAAAAAGAATGAAAGAAAAATTCACCACAACAGGAATAGAAGTTATATTTGGGTGTTGAATATATATATATATATATATATATATATATATATATATATATAATCTTTATTGATTTCAGAAAGGAAGGGAGGAGAGATACAAACATCAATGTTGAGCCCAAACCGGTTTGGCTCAGTGGTAGAGCGTCGGTCTGCGGACTGAAAGGTCCCAGGTTCAATTCCGGTCAGGGGCATGTACGTTGGTTGCGGGCACATCACCAGTAGGGGGTGTGCAAGAGGCAGCTGGCCGATGTTTCTCTCTCATCGACGACGTTTCTAACTCTCTATCTCTCTCCCTTCCTCTCTGTAAAAAATCAATAAAATGTATTTAAAAAAA